CCCGGGTCAAAAGGTATTTCTATTTTTAGTTTTTTGAGGAACCTCCATACTGCTTTCCACAATGGTTGAACTAATTTACATTCCCACGACCAGTGTAGGAGGGTTCCCCTTGCTCCACAACCTCGCCAGCATTTGTTGTTGTTTGTCTTTTGGATGGTGGCGATCCTTACTGGTGTGAGATGGTATCTCATTGTGGTTTTTATTTGCATTTCCCTGATAATTAGGGATGTGGAGCATCTCAAAGAGCAGACTTCTGTAGTGTTTGGAGAAGTTTCTGTGTGATTCTGTGTGCTAAAATGTTACTGACTGCATTTACCCATATTAGGAATTTAAGTTATAAATAACAGTAGAGATTCCTTCAAACATTATGATTTAAAGTTCGTTGCATAGTTAATTTAAAGATTCTCAACTTTTGGGGAATTATACCCTGCTTGCTTGGTTTTAGTAAGTGGTGTTTTTTGAGAATTTTATATCTCTTGAAATGATGGTAGACTCACTGGAGTCCCAGAAAACTGAATTTTTATCTTACTGGTTTATTTACAAGTAAGGGATGAAAATTAAAGTACTTGGGGTTTTCCTCAGATATGTTTTTAGCTATTTTACATGCATCTTGCAGTAATTAGTGCTGACATAGTAGAGGCAAAACCTAGTTGAACGAAATTCACAGAAAATTTAGATTAAGGTCCTATATGAGATGAAGGTTTCAGCTAAAACAGGGACACTGGTGGATTTCTGTTCTTTCCCTGCTGAAGCTGTAGATGCTTAGAAGCAGAAAACCACTCTGAGCCTAAGCCGGCCAGTCCGTTGAGCTTCTTCCTTCCGGCCAGGAGGTGGCAGTATCATACCAGACATGTTCGTGACAATTGACAAAGAGAAGGGCTGCAGCCTTAAAATTAATAAGGTTGCATCTGGGTGCCTTGTTAAAAAGACAGTAACGTATTGTCTAAATGTGGACATGTAAGCAGACCCCAACCTTGGTGTGTCCCCCATATTTGCATATATTTGAATGGTGCCTCAGTCTTTAACTGTTCCCTGGGTGAGGTCTTTTGGGATTTCCCCTCTCTCTCCCCTTCTGGCTTATTTCTGTAGCCGTTGTTTCTTCCTGGGAATAACCTCTGCCTTACAAAAATACCCACTTCTCTCCCGTGCTTTGGCGTGACATCTGTCCTTTGCACGAGGGAGACGGACCCGGAGGTAAAAGAGCAGGGAGAGGACTGGAGTAACGCGAAGACGGATCTGGACCTGACTTCCATCTCTGTTACAGCGCTCACCACAAACACCACTGTGTACTTTTCCTCTTGTTAGTTTTAGTCACTGATTGCTTACCATTGTCAGCAATGAAGACTTTGAGAAAAACCCAAAGAATTTTGTACTCGCTTCCGGGACAAGGAGCAAATGAAAAATTCTGAGGCTAGGTTCCGTTCCGTTCCGTTGAACCAGGGAAGGGAGCAAGTGGGAGTGAGCACAAACACCGAGTGGTGCGCACAGAAGAGAAGCAGACAGCCTAGTCCCTGGGACTGGATCCGTGAGAAAGGGCTGGTAGAGATCCATCCAACCGAGTTGTGTAGCATCCCTGGGATGGTCCCCTGGCCAGAGCCCCGTGTCTGCCAGCTCCTCTGACCTCAGCTCCCCTTTTTAGGCCCAGTGATCCCCATGAAAGGCTGGGGGGGGGGGGAGGAAGGAGATAGGGAAGGGACATACCCGAGTCTTTTCCGGCTGTTCTAGGGAGAATTCTCTCTCAAAGTAGAAATCTGTGCAAAGATTCCCCAGCAGCACTGTTATGTGAGATGGCTAGGCTGTGTGGTGGTATTATAATGTAAGAGAATTTTCTTGAACTTCCCAGTTCAACCCAGAACACAGCGGAACCCCATCCCCCGCGTGTTCCAGGAGGTAAATGTACGTTGAGTTTCAAACAACATTCATACATTGAGAATTACTTCCATTGTATCACATCACATATACAGACACATTAAGCCTGAAAAGCAAGTCCTAACCCACTGACATTTCAAATGGGCTGTGTAAAATTAAAAGCTGCATTTTGAAGACCGATTGTTCTTTGCTATAAGGATATATGTTTGTGTACAATAACATTAACTTGTGTATTACATTTATTTGGCTAAGTAAAATGTGTCTTTTAGGATCTGTTTCTCTGTTTCTAAAGCAGAAATGTTCTTTTCTTCCCAATAGTCAGTGACGCAATAACCCAATCTTGTGTTATATGGAAAATTTTTTGAAAATTAGAAAAAGTCTTTTATAATGTTTAACAAACCTAGAGGTTAGAAAACTGCATGGAAAGTAATGACAAAACACACATTAGCATTTGCTTTTAATTGTTGTAACCTATTGCATCAATTAAAGTAGAACATTGAGGATGCGGGCAGTTATTTAGCCATGGAAAGAAAAAATAAGACTTGTTTACCAAATAGAAAAAAAATCAGGAAAGTGATTTTCTCTAAATTACATTTCTACTCAAATGCACTCTCCAACTTCGAGTTATTTTCCTAATTATATTTTATGTGCAATGAATTTCTAAACCTCTTTGTGCATTTAATGCTCTTGGTTGGAAATTTAATATCAATTGAGTTTCCATTAAGCTGGAAACCACAGCTTAATGGTAATTTTTAAAGATGTGATTTTTAGCAAAGTGTTTGCCTTGGGATAATAATAATAGCAATAAAAGTGAATCTATTGATTACTTTAAAGTTTACTAAATACTTTCCTATACAGAGGCACTGTGGTGTCATGGAAAGACCTGAGGCTTTGACTTCGGGCCTGGCTGTGCCCCTCAGCTGATCTATTTACTTGCTGTTATTTGCCCTTCCTGAGTCTCAGGGTTTTCATCTGTGAATGAGGATGACACCTGTGTTGAAATGGTGTGGTGAATGTGAAGCAAGAATGAATGCATGCAAAGACCTCAGCATGGAACAGCAGCCTTAGAAACCCCCATATATAATCTTCACAATTTCAGTAGGAAGTAGTTTTTATTATTTGTTTTACAGATGAGTCAGCTAAGGCGAGGTAACTGATCCAGGGTCGCCAAGTCTGTTCTGTGACTTCCAAGTCCAGGGCACTTCCCTCCTCTTGACTGCTTCTGGACCAAGATTGCAAAAATTGATAAAGTACTCAACATGTATTGTTAGATGTGAGCACTCAGATGCGATCTAACTTCTGTTAAGGTAGTGATTCCTGGCTCATTTTCCCTCTGATGTACATGTGATACTGTGGGACTCAAGGCTGCTGGTACTTTAGCTGAAACTGTCCTTTTCATTTTTTAAATTGAAGTGTAGTTGATACACAATCTTACATTGCTTTCAAATGTACAACAGAGTAGTTCCACAGTTACCCACATTGCTAAATGCTCACCCCTACTAATGCAGTTACTGTCTGTCAAGACCGGAAGGTGTTACAGAAACATTGACTATATTCTCCATGCTGTATGACTGTCCCCGCGACCGACTTATATTATGATTGAGAATCTTAGTGACCCTTTATCCCCCCACCATCCCCAAAACTGCAACCTTTCCTGTTCTGCTCACAAAAACCCAAGGAAGAAGAGTGTCTGTAATAGGGATAACCTGCAGTTCACCCCATTCTGAAGCCACTAGTGTTTTATTGCTGATAGCATGTTTCTTTAAATATATGTCACAACTTACTGCAAACATCACATTTGGAAACTGCTGCAGGAGATGTGCTCTGGGGAGAAATAGGTCATCTTCTAGTAGAGGCCCCTATTGGAAATGGTGAGAAAGATAGGTGGGGCCAGTTGGAGTTTAAAAAGTTAAGATTTGATCTTGTGGGCAATCTGAAGTTCTTTAAGAGAAAAGCAACAGGATTAAAGTGCTGGTCTGCAGGATGGGTTTGGAAGCAATAAAGCCTGGAAGCAAGGAGGCCAGTTGGAATGTTGAAGTGAACTGTGGCAGTGGGAATGGAAAGGAATACACAGACTCAAGAAAGCTTGTGGCTGATTGGATATGCAGGGGTCAGCAAGGAGTAAAGGGGTCAAATAATGAGAAGTTTCCAAATATGCTGTCACGTAGGCATTAGGTGTCCTTTTGTGCTTATATTTTGTGTTAAATGAGTATTAAAATGCTCATGCAGCCCCAGGACTCAATATCCTATTGATGGAAGGAGACAGTCCAGAGGGTGCTAAAGGGCAGGGAAAGCACACGCTTAGAATTAGACTTTTGCAGGACATAGTCATAAAATAAATATTTTTAATTAAGGTATGATTGATATGCAGTCTTATGAAGGTTTCACATGAGCAACATTGTAGTTTCATCATTCACCCATATTATCAAGTCCCCTCCACACCCCATTGCAGTCACTGTCCATCAGTGTGGTAAGATAGTCATAAAATATTAATACGGTTTTTTTAAAAAACAAGTTGTTGCCTTATGGAATTGTTTGGGTAGCCAGTTTCAGATCCTAAGCTACAGTGACTTGTGGTTAGTCATACAAACATGCTGCTCTCTGAATTTTGAACTTGATTGTGCAGCATTACAAATGGGTGTCTTGGAGATGCGAAGCACGTGGTGAGTTGCTACAGTTGGCTTCTGACCAGCCAATAGCCAGAATGTTTAAAGTGACTAAGAAAATATTGTTTTAAATCTTACATTGAGGTCTGTATGCCCCATATCTGTGGGTGCAGGCTTCTTAAGGACAGGAAATGTTGTTTTGTTCATTGCTGTATCCTCAGTAGAGAACAGAGCCTGTCACTTAGGAGATGCTCAATAAATGTGGCATGAGCAAATGCAGCTAGGGGTCGTGAGCTGACTGGCTCACCTCTGTAGCCCCAGGGCTGGGTGTGATACTGATTGCATAGGAGGATCTGAATAAAGGGTTGTTGAATTGAGTTGAAATGAGTTGGACAGCATTCGGACTAGTGAAACAAATTTTTACTGGGTTTTATATTGTGTCTAATACAGTAAAATAATGTTCAGTTGGTTATTCTCACCTCAGAATATTAAGTGGTAACAAAACAATATTCGTTTTTTTGCTAGTGATGATCTGGAACAATTTATGGAAAAGCAAGGTGCGTCCAGCCCAGGTATCCTCATTTTAACAACAAGCCTCAGCAAACCATTCATGCGGCTGGAAAAGTATGTCACTCTCTTGCAAGAGTTGGAACGGCACATGGAGGTAAGGGAAGGTGAGCTTTTTTAAGCTCATGTATAAAGTGTGGGCCTCTGTCCAGGAGAAAGCAACCGGTCTGCCTCCACAGCAACCTTGCTGAGGAATTCAGAAAAAGCCTTGGCTTCAACATTTACTTGACCCAATCTTCCCACTTTCCAGGCTCCTAGTTTTCCTCAGCAACATAAGAAGGGGGCATTATTTTTCTTTTCTCAGTTTTTTTTTTACTTATTTTTGTTTATCTTTTCCAGCTTTATTGGGGTATGACTGACAAAAAATCTATATGTTTAGGTTGTACAACATGATATTTTAAAGGTGACAATGTGACAATTCGATACATGTATACATTATGAAATGATTACCACAATCAGGTTAATTAACGCATCCACCACCCTACATAGCTAACATTTCTTTTTATGGTGAGAACTCACAATCTACTCTTAGCAAATTTTTTTAAATTCATTTTATTATCATTAATCTACAATTACATGAAGAACATTATGGTTACTAGACTACCCCTTCACCAAGTCCTTCCCCACGTAGTAAGATGCTGTAGACGCACTACTTGTCTTCTCTGTGTTGCACATCCCTCCCTATGCCCCCCTCACATTATGCATGCTAATTGTAAGGCCCCCTTTGTTTTTCCCTGCCCTTATCCCTCCCGTCCCACCCGTCCTGCCCAGTCCCTTTCCCTTTGGTAACCGTTAGTCCATTCTTGGTACTCTTAGCAAATTTCAAGTATATAATACAATGTTATAAAGTATAATCACCATGTCCAGGAGATCCCCAGTCCTCATCTTATTACTGAAAGAGCCCCATCCTTTACTGCTAAATAGTCCCGATCATTCTCCCTCCCCACTCCGTACTCCTCCCAGCCTCAATCCTGTTACATCTCTCAAGTCTATGCTAACTTGTTGGCTTAAGTTTTCTTCCGGCCTCTCACCTGTACATGGTGGTTCAATCAAAAGCGACCAAGAAATCTTCTGTTGTTGTGGTCTATGAACAACTTTATTGTGGGAGATAAACAAAGCCAAACATCAGAAAATGTAAAGTACACTTTCACTATAGACAGTGATCATCCAGCCTTCTGATGCTGGATTATGACGGAAGATTCTGGTGTTCCCTGAAGATTAATAAATGGGTCCAATATTAGTTTATCTCTCTATGCATCCATTCATTGATATTAAAGTTCCCTCACGTTTTTGTTTATAAACTTAGAGTTTACTTGCAACAGCTGTAGCATAGCTATAATCTTTTCTAAATATTAAGGTTTGTAATAAGACCTGATAATTGAATATTTTTTCATCAAGAGCCCAGATCCTCTTATTAAAAGCTAATCATCAGGGATGGCTTCTGGAACCATCCTTGCGCTATCGAGCATGGGGGGACTGAGGTCGTGGGTGGGGAGGCTGCGTTTACCCCACTTGCTCTTCCTGTGTCTGGGGAAAGGTTTTGAGGTTTTAAAGGGTTTGATTATCTTTAAAGAAAAAGGTTGCACACTGCCAGTCTTGTCAGCATTTATAAGGATTGAAAGCATGTACTCTGAGCGAAACCACATTCTCAGGTTATTTGACCTACCGGAAAGCTGGAGGCACTGGCGAGCTAGTGCGGAAAGCCTGCCAGAATGAAATTTCAGTTAAAGCTCGGGAAGGTGTTGACCTCTGGATGCCTTTCCAAAAGCTAAACTAGTTCACTGAACCGTTTGAGGTTTGCCCCACCTTGCTTATCACAAAAATCTAGAAATTGGCAGCCTCAGTTTCTGTGACTGCTCAGTGCTACAGTACTAAGATACACTTAGTTGAGGAGAAAAATCCCCAGATGCTCCCGCTGCCTGAATCCTTTATTTTGGCCTTCCTGGTATCGGGGCCCATTTCCATGCCTGCCTCCGTTTGCTGTTGGTCACCTGCCTTTGACTGCCTTCCACTTCCCACTGTCACATAATACACACCCTTTAGGACTGGTTCACCATCCAGTGACACCCTTGATCCCGCTTTCTGGTCGTTTACCATGGCTGCTGGCTAATGGCAGAGTAGAACCTGAACACTGTCATCAGCTGATTTGTGTAAGGATCAACTTAACTCTAAAAGCACCTGACCTTTCTTTACATAAGTAATACTGTTCTTGGCTTGGGTCAGACCCCTTGTCTGTTCAGCTCCATATTTAATCACCCAAGGCTGGTCCAGCAGCAGATTTTCTCTTCCCATTATTCCAGCTAAATTCCAAAGGTTTGGTATACATATACCCCTAAGAAGCTCTACTTGTCAGGTTGTAAGTACCATGGAATTGCAGACCATGTGTAATAACCTTGCTTAAGAAGGAGCATGTGGAATAAAACTTGGAATTTTTTCCCATCTGCCATGTTGCGGCTGCTGAATGGAAGCATTTTAGGAAATGAGAATGGATTGATTTTTCTCTAACCTCTATTTTATTTCCACAGTTCCCTTCTCATTTACCAACAGCATGACCAAATGATGTTCCCCAAATAATTATCATTTATTATCCAAAGACAGCCAAAAGGCAAATGGGACCTCTTGTCTCAATAACCACACCTAGTATGTTGCAACCAAATATATGATGTGCTACCAGCTGTCTTAATTTCTTAATCACCTAATAATTGGGGGTGCTGAGATTCCAAATGCTCAAGTGCTGTTTTATTTTTTAATCTTCAAATTAGCATACAGTAAAATGGCCTTTTTTCTTTTGGCATACAGTTCTGTGACTTAAAACACATGCATAGATTCATGTTGCCACCACCAGAATCGAAGTACAGAACCCTTCCATCATTCCCCGATTTTTCTCTTTCTATCTCTCCACAGCCTCACCCTCCTCCCAGCCATTGCCTCTGGCAACCGCTGATCTGTTCTCCTTAATATTGTTTTAAAATGTATTCCTTTCATAGGACACCCATCCAGATCATCAGGATATTCTGAAAGCAATCATCGCATTCAAAACTCTCATGGTAGGTGATGTTCTAAAATTGTCATTCTCCATTTTGTATGCTTTGCTCCTAAAAGAGCAACTTATGTGTCACGTTTCTTTCCTTATGCAAAGGTCTTGAGAGCGGAAACAGTAAGCTTTAGTGACAGTATCACAGTGATTGTTTCATTTAATTTCGTCTTCCAAAACTCATGCTTACCTGTGAAAGGTTGCCAGGCTGGGGGTGTAAAGCACTCACATTTGAAATCTCTGCCACATTAAGCATTGCTGTGTAGGTGGGGGGTTTCCTTTTGTCTCTTTGTCTTTATTGCCGCCCCCCACCCCCCATTGCTCACCTGACGTCTGTGCAACTTGTTCACTGATTGGCATCAATACTGGATTCATCTACTTATGCCAAAGGGTGTGAGTTTTTTCTTTGCATACGAGGAAGAAATCCATCAAATCTAAAGGGGAAAAAAACCTACTAAAATACAATTGCTTTATATAGATTGCTATCAAAGCTACCTGTAATCTTGTTACCTTGAGCGTGATGGTTAATGTCTTCTTGAAGCCACTGATGTAAAACCACTTGGTGATATTTTAGGAGGAAAGAGAACATTATTTTAGGAGAGTGATTATGTTTACCTTCATGGCAGACATTTCTGTAGCATTCCAAATGATTGGGATCAATGTTTAGTTATTAATTCTTGCTGTAGGCTGTGATGCAACATTCACCATCACCTGACATGTCCACGATTAAATAGTTAGTAGATCAGGATAAGGTATTAGGTTAAAATTGCTGTTGTCGTAGGTCAAAAAGTTGAATGTTGGCAGTTTTACATGGTTCAACCCAATAGAACAGCCCATTGAAATCCATCACATTTATTATCATTTGTGTCCCTCTTATTTTGTCCTATGTAAATTGAATAGAAAATGCCTCTTTTTTAAAAACAATGTCTCTTCCTGATCATTTTACATGTTGTAAAACTAGCTTTGATGGATAGAATGTATTTTTTCCCACTATAGATATTGAAAAATATGTGCATAATGAATTTAGTTCTTCAACTTCCCATTTGGCTGAAAGGCAGAGATGTTATAGAGAATATTCCCCAAAAAACTATGATATTCATTTGGAAACAGTATCATAACTTAAACTTACTTTCAGATTCAGTTTGGAATAAATACTGTTAAATTTCTCTAAGAAAACTTAACATTTTCTGAAGCAGTGATTTGATCTATCTATCTGTCTGTCTGTCTGTTTCTCCCACATATTGTTTCTTGGTTTATATTTTGAGTTTGTACTCATGAAACTTAGTTGTATTTTTCTCCAGTTCTTTTAGGAATAAAAATTAATGTAGTGCTTTTTCATAATAATCTACTACTCATGTCTAAGTGAACTATAGGGCAGTGTATATGTTTCATTATAAGATCAATTTGATAAGCTGTGGCATAAGGAATTTAATTTTCTCTTTATCCATAACTCCTGGAGACTATTTTTTGTTTTCTTATTAAGATGTTACTTGGTTGGAAACGGACTATATGTTAGAAAAATAAAATTGCTTTGTAACTAAAGCGTAATTTACACAAAGACAGACAAGATGGAGAGGCGCTAAAGCAGGTACCCCGGCTGGCAGATCTGAATCTGCTTGCTGCTCTCCTGGCCCTGTTTGATATGATTCTGCTGCTTGTCTCCCCATATCCGCTGCAGTGAGGAAGAAACAAGCCCCTTCTACCATTTCATCCTGATGTTTTGGCAAAATGAAAAGTACCTCTTCCTCACAAAACTTTTGGGGTCTCAAGCCTAGAGGTGAGGGTAGTGGATCTTTCTGTCTGTCAGGAACAGACCTGATGATGGGATTCATGGTGAGGAATAGGGGCTCAGTGGAAATCTGAGAGTCAAAAGTCCCATCTCACTTTAGTCTCGCTTTAGGCCTGTTGCACAAGAATTCTTATATCTGTTATGCTCTACTTCGGTTCTGTAGGGGCAGTGCCAAGACCTAAGAAAGAGAAAACAGCTGGAGCTGCAGATCCTTTCAGAACCTATTCAGGCGTGGGAAGGGGAGGATATTAAGACCTTGGGCAATGTCATTTTTATGTCACAAGTAATGGTGCAGTATGGAACATGCGAGGTAAGATGTTTCAAATTTGAACACCATTTCTTCCATTTTTCATGTTTTTTTGTCCCTTATTCATTCTTCCATCAAGTCAAATGCTTGGACAGTCAGAGAGCACCCATTCTTGGCCCAATACTCTGCCAGCTGCTGTGAGAGGGGGGAGGCAAGAACTCCCTAAAAACAGCCTAAAACACAGGCTGCACCTAGAAAACAGACCAAAATAGGCAATGCCAGACTGGGTAGTCTCAGCAATAGATTCCATAGAAATTATGGAATAACTTGAGAGGGAGGGCCACAAAGAGAAAAGGTGAGGCTTTCATAAGGTAGAGGTCATTTTCGTCTCAGGAGAGAACAGGAACGGGGCCTCTGTTCTGCAGGACAGTGAGGAAGCCAGTCCGTTATGAGCAGAGGAAGCACGTTGGGTGGAGTGAAAGAGATGGATGGAGTCAGATGCAGCCAGGCTATGAGGAAGTCCAGGTGTCAGGCAAGGGGCATTCAGACTGACACAGCGGGCACCTGGAGACCAGGAGAGTCCTGGGTACTGGAGAGGCACATGCAAGGGGTGTTTATGTTACTTCATCTGGCAACCACATATTTCAGGTAAACTGGAGGGATGGGGCTAGAGACAGAAAGGCCAGTTGGGCTGGGAAATGGTAAGCCCAAGAAAATGAAAGTTAAAGGACAAATCTGAGCCACATTAGAAGGGAGAGCCACAGGAAGTGGTGACCCACAGGCTAGAGGAGATGACAGATGTAATTTTAGACCTGTTACCTTTCAAGTGACTGTAGGTATCCAAGTGGAGGTATCTTGTAGGCAGCAGGTAAATCAGTATAGAACTGTGGTTGGGGGATCAGGGTTAGAGGCCAAGATTTAGATGTCCCTGACAACAGATGTGTCTTCCTAGGAAATAAAGAACCAGAGAGAAGCACAGAGAGCTGAAGATGGATTATGTCTTTTAGGAAGGGGGCAGGGGAAGGGAGGAAGGTTGATCGTGTCTCCTGGTGTGATTTATCAGGTGGTAGAAACAGCCTGTACTCCCTGGCAGGTCTCTGTCAGAAATGCATTACTTTGAGTTAATAAATAATCTCACTGAAAATGCAGACCCCTGGGGAAGGTTAATACAGCAAGTGTGACTATTAGCCTTTTGCACCTTTGGGATAAGCCTCTTGAGTGAAGGGAGGAGGAATCAGTGCCAGAAAGAGAAGACAAAGAGGAAGACAGAGGAGCACTGGGGGAGAGTGGGGCCATGGAAATTCCTGGAGGAGCATTTGAAAGCAGTCAGCCTGCTGAGTGCAGCAGACGGTTCAGAGGTCAAGGAGTACAGAGACCATGACGAAGCCATTGGATTTTGCCCGAAGGCAGTTACTGATGACTTGGAGAGGGCGGGGGTTTGCAGTCAAGGAGGGATCAATGGGGAGAAAATGAAGGCATGAAGTAATTTGGCAATAAAATGTCAAGAAACAGGGCAAGTGAAGGCCTGTTAGGGGAAGGCAAAAGAGAAAACGCCAGTTGAACAGCAGAGGCTGCTAGAAGAGGGTGGAGGAGATGAGGTGTCTGTAGAAGAAAACAAAATAAGAAAAACATGTGAGAGATACAGAGCACTTGTTAGAAGAGTTAGCCTTGAATGCTTGCTCTTCCCAAGTAGGAGGAAGGAGGAGATGGAGGCTGATTGTAGCTAAGGCAGTTGGACACAGAAGCCGAATGTCACTTTCTGTATCTATTAATTGTGTGTCCATCTAGGGTGTGTAGAGAAGCCTGATGTGTAAACTTTCCTTGTAATTTTTATTTGTAAAAATTTGTGCAAAGGTATGCACTTCTTTGTGTTACATAGGTACAATAATTATTGTGTTCTTACTGATTAAAATGTAATTTTCTGAATAGGAATTTAACATACATGTTAGAGCATAATCACTTTCCCAGCACCTGAAAACGCCTTCGTTTTGCCACTTCTCCAAGTACAATCCTTTTCACTGTGCAAAACCTAGAGCCTCACCATATGCTCGGGCTGCAGCTCGGGTGGGACAGCGTCAATGCTATGACGTCTCAGGCTTACTCCTGGGACAGCAAGCATGGTCGTTTGTCTTTAGCTGTTATTCTGTATAGGAAGGAGAGAGATAAACTGTTTACGTCTATTTCAAAGTAAAACTCAAGTAAGTTTGTGCTTTTAACTTGGGTATCTTTTTTTTTTTTAAATCACTGCATATGTTTCATCGCCTTATTTAAGATTTGTGTTACAAAACAGCGGTTCCAGAAATTTTTAGCCAACAACATGTCCAACTTCTCTTCTCTATTTAACATTTTTCATTCCACTTCAGGAAAAAGAGGAGCGGTACTTCATGTTGTTTTCCAATGTCTTGATAATGTTATCTGCAAGTCCTCGGATGAGTGGCTTTATCTATCAGGTTAGTCGATGTTGTATAAAACAAATTGCAGGACCTCTAATGAAAATAGGTTTCCATCCAGATGCAGTGTTTCCACTACGGCGTTAAAAGCTCCAGCCAGAAAAGGCAGAACGTTCTGACCCTTCCTCGTAATTAAACAGCTTATAAGAGCAGATGTTCCTTAGATCAAAACCTTTGTATTACGATAATGAGTTTACCCTGAATAGCCACTGCTCTGGTTATGAGCTAGGTCATGAACGTGTAAATAGAATTCTAAGTCTGCAACTTGATAAACCAGTCCCAGCATTTTATAGGCCCATTTCATGTCATTGTTGCTGAGAAAATATACAGCTGGGGCCTTCTCCAATGACTGTCTTATTACAGTTTCATCCCGTGATTTGGGTTCCTGAGATGCAAATCCTTAATGAAACTTCCTCCAGACTGCTCCCCAAATATGGGCTATTATGTTACTGCTCCCTATTATATCTTGGCCTAGCAATTACTAATTTTCATAAAACTCGAGTCTTTACTTTGTTTACTGAGTCTCTTGAAAATGTGTTAGAAAAGTAAACTGTCTGTAAATCCTGACCATATGGTTTAGGGTGTGTTAGTAAAACACAACCCACATTTTCCCTACATTGCTTTCTTGTCTGATTAAAATTTAAAGCAGAGACACATATTATCTATGGACAGACCAGAGAAATATGTCCAGCCATAAGTCAGCAGTGATTCCGGAGAGGGTCAGAAAATGTAATAGAAACACACAGAGACACGCATAACCACAGAATTAATGGGAATGTTCTTTTTCTGGTAGGGGAAAATACCGATATCAGGAATGGCAGTGATGAGATTAGATGAAATTGAAGGGAATGACTACACATTTGAAATCACAGGTAGGTCATTTTCTCTTTTTGATGTAGCTACTTCAAATCCTTTTTGGAATGAAGTGGGGTTTAAATAGGTAAGTGCTATTATTTTCTGTTATAGAGTCCATAAGAAAGTTTTACATGGTCATGGCAACATATATTCCATTTCCTGGGATAATTAAGGGGCAGCAATAGAACAGAGAAGTCTCCTGCTCATTCGAAAGCCTCAGCTTTGTCATTAGTTTCCATCTTCTCTTGCATAAGAGCTTCTTGGGAGAGCCAAGAAATAACAGAATGGGCTGATGTAAAGGCAATTTTCTCTCCCTTCTGTCATCCAGTTTTCAGTGAGAGTAGCCAAAGATGTGGACTTTTATCATCAATTTTATCATCAGTCTGTGAATTAGCAAGATTTGGTAGGGTTTCTAAAAACTGCTGAAGAACCATAAAACTTTCTTCACAAATTGAGCAAAATGCCAGGCCTTGGTAATGCTCCCTGACATTTTGACCTGTTGACTTTGGCCAGGCCTGTGTGATCTACACTTTAACGTTTGCACTTCTTGCACGGATATGGAACAATGCCTCCAGGCCTTAGCCCCTTCCTTCCTAATAGGGAGTCCAAGATTTGGTGTTGGCCTGAAGACTGTAACCAGTCGCAGTCGGATCTCGTTTCTACTTTGAATTTGGGTGAAGCAATACAATACACACGTTTTAGTCTTGGAACTAGGGGGACTCTGCTTAAATATTTCCATTTTGAGTTGCTTTAGAGTCAAGTTTTATACAACTCCTAAAATTCTGTCAGTAGTAGAAATCAAGGACAGCTTTATAAGTCAGATATGAATATGTATTTCATAACCTTATTATCACAGTTTAGCTGTTCCTGACGGAAGTTTCAACAGGGTCATCCCGTAGGTATGAAAACTGAAAATAGAGACCCAAGTCCTAGTTACCTGAAGTGTGTTTATGAATGAGGCAAGCTCAAGGTTCGCCTTGCCTTTTGTTTCCAAACGCTCATAATTGGGCGACGCAGGTAACGTAGCAGAGAGAGTCGTGGTCCACTGCACCACCAGCCAGGACTTCCAGGAATGGCTGGAGCAGCTGTCCAGGCTGATCAGAGGGCCTGCGTCTTCCAGTTCATTGTCCAAAACATCATCGTCCTCCTGCAGTGCTCATTCCGTAAGGAGTCCGTTTGTTCTTTCCGGGGGTCACCGAGTTGCATCACATCCTGCCTGCAGAGGACTTATAAGAAGTAGTGAGCATGCCCTTAGTCTTTGGGTAGTCTGTATTTGTAGGTTTTGAAGTACAGTTAGACCTCACTAATTCTGATTTCTTGTTGGGAAGGGAGGCCCATCCAAATTTTAAAAAGTTTTACCTAGAGGTGTATGGCTTTGTTTGACAGGATTATTTGCTAGCAAAGTTTTTCTAACCGGAAGTCCTGCTCTAATGCAAAATGCAATTTACTTTAATTAGCAGCCATTATTCTCATGTTAATAATGTGCTAAATCAAAACAGTTTGCCTTCCTAAGTACTTAAACATCTCCATGTAATCTCACTTGTGCTATCACATTCACCCAGTAACTTTCAAGGATAAACTTTTAGTTGCCTTCTACCAAGATATCCCAAATTTGGAATTCATAGAATTTGGATTGATGAGATTTTACTGTACTTGCTGAGTGAGAGCGAAGATATGCCCTGTTGTCTCTTAACATTCAAACCTGTGATGCCAAAATTCCAGTTTTGAGCATTATGTGTTGTGGTGGGAAGAACCAGGGCTTTGGCATGACATCTGGGGTCAAATCTTGACTTTGCCAATTGCTATCTAGTTCGCTTTGCTAAGGTTTGTCTTAGGTTGTTCTGATGAAATCACCTATTTAAGCTCCTAGCAGAGTGCCAAACACGTGACTGAGCTCATTAAATGTTGACTGGTGCTCCACTTTACTCCCTTATAGAGGAAAACAAATCTGACTTAAATGGAATTCTAGAAGAGGGACAGGATCATGGGATATTGAGTCAGTTTTGTGCTGTTTCTTAGAGACTGGAAATCTTGCCTGGAAAGTGCCAGTTCTCAAACTGGAGACTTTTGTCTGCCCATCTTTCTCTTTCTATGGCTGGCTTTGCTGAGCCAACGAAGCCGTTGTTGCCTCACTGTGTGGCACAAGGTCGGGTTCAGATGGCAGACTGCCAACATCTCATCAGACATTTTCCCAGTCTTTTAGCTCTACTGGACAGCCCCGAGGACCCTTGGAGCCTCCTCAGATTGTAAAACCGTGGAGTTTAAGTTGTCTACGTCCTGCACCTCCACTTAGACCATCAGCAGCTCTAGGTTATAAAGAGGTAATTTTGCTACATACGGTATATAATGCTACTGACAAGCTTATTTTGTAGCTTATTACAAATAGTTCTGTGGGAATGTGCTAGAATTTATGATAGATGATACATGCCAGTCAGTCTTGAGTTGCTAGAGTCAGTGATTTTTTGTATTTCCTAATCTTCCATTTCCCCATTGCCCATCTACAAATATTTATTGACTGTCGACGGGGTTCATGTGCACTGCTTGAGTTTCCTCGGGCTTCTCCTGAAGGGCCTCTGGTTTACCTTCATAGCAATATGATGATTCTATTTAGTGGTATTGATGTGCACACATCTCAGACAACGGCCACTTCATTAGAGTTGAATTTCCAACCAAGCACACCCAGTTCTACATTTTGCATATTTCTGGTCTATTAAATCGAATCAGTAAAGTCTTACCGGGCCAAGCCATGAGTCTAAACTCTGAAAGTCTCAACTATTTATTTGCTGCAGCTGGAAAGGGAAAAGAATTTAATAAAAGGAATGTCTTTCAAAAAGAGGATTCTAAACGACAACCTTAGAGGACAGTTGCTATTTGGGTAGTGTGTGGGCAATTCAAGGTTTTTTTCCTCTCCAAGTTGCAGTCAGGAAATGGCCGTCACTAGCTTCTGTAACACTGTGGAGTGTTACCTTTTCCATCCAAACAGTGTTTTGTTTTGTTTTGTTTTGTTTTTGCCCCTAACCTGTTTCTCATCGTTTCAGCTTTCAGAAAAGATCCTCATTCATTAGTAACAGTTCTTTAAATAGGTCTTACTGAGTGAAGATTTCAGTTTGTGACAGTTGCGAGATGCATCTTAGAATCATGGTGCAAAGGCAGCCTATATTTGTATATCAAACGTGTGTTTTGATGAGTGACACAGCCTTACCTCAGTTTAGAGTTTGTTTTCATTTAAAACACCACACTGTTTTGATTAATTGTTGCCTCCAATTCTTAGTGCAGTAAAAATAGAACAATATTTGGCCACTGGAGGATTTTTTGATCCTTTCAACCTGACATGATAGGAGAAATAATCCTTGAGCTGAATCTTTATTTTGTACGTTTATTCCGAATTTGTTCTGGAAATGGTCCCACAGGTTTACTCTGGAAATTGACCCATGATACCTGCAATCATCCCATTTTCTTATTTGATTACCTGAGCCAGGTGTGCCACTTCATAGTTATCTAGGTCCCCTTTTTAATGATGGATATTTTGTAATTGTCAGGTACTAAATTCAAATTAAGGTGAGCTTTGAAGGGTAAAGTTGACTTAATCCTTCTCAGAACTAATCCATTAAAACCAAGGCATGATCACTTTGTTTCTGCTGGGAGAAGCGTTATTAATATGTTCTTACTGTGTAGTGTGTATTTCAGTTATTTTCAGCATTTGTTATTCTGCACAGAACTGTATTCTTTGGACTTTTGCATGATGATATTGCATCTGAAACTAATGTGGGAGACATGATGATATTCTCTCTGTGTAATTTATGGTAACACTAACATTTCAAATGTTGTTTTAGAATTATTGATAAGTGGATTTGGTCATTATAACCATCGGCCTCTCACGCTCATCTTCTCTTTCTTTACATATTCACTTTAGAGGATGTCTTATATCTTAAAGGTAAGGGTAGAACAAGATCTTTGGCTTACAGTGAAATCATAATGCTGTGCTGTAACCTTTGATGAATGAAGCCCTCCTTTATGTTTGTTTTGTCCCTTGTTATAATTGGTGGCTAAATATGAAGATGCAATTCTGACATGTAAGTACTTTCTTTGCAAAGCAGGCTCTTGTGGAAAACATGAAAATGTCACCTTATAATGCCTTAAAAAATACCTGTGTTCCTATTTTTCTTAATGCTGTTTTCCCTGTTAGTTTTGTCACATGTAAGGTTTTCATGTCTGTCTCTGTCCAAGTGGAGGAAATTAAAATCTTTGTTTCATATATTTTTAAGGCATTAATTATTCTCCATGCATCACATATATATATTTCATGGGAGATTGGAATAAAAGATGATAGCTAGGGTTTTGGTCTAAGTGTAAGGCTCCACTCTGTTTATATGATTACTGATAACACTTTTTTAGACCTGCCATTTATTCATATGGCAAAAGCAAATTCAATTGATTCATTACTAAAATTAAAGTAATTTTTAAAATGGCTTTTTGTATGTATATTTAAGCATGGCTATAGGTACGTTACCCCTAACCCCAAATTATTTGTCAGGAATCCTTCCTATGGCTCTTCTCTCTGACTGTGGGGAAATTACTTAAACTCTGTCCCTTAATTTTCCCATGGGTCAAATGGAAATGAATAGTCTTTGTGTGACTGTTGCTATGGAAAGTTTATTTAAATAGTTTAGAAGGTCTTTGAAAGGCAGTACATGCTGCATTAGTAGTGACAATTGTTATTTAATTCCCTTAAGCTGTATCAGTGGGGAGTATAAACCAAGTTAGGAATATGGTTATTTCTCTAGGATTGCCATCCATTACTTTCTCTGTAAATGGTGCCCTGAGGGCATTTGGCCTTTTGGGAAATCTGCCACATCTTCAGGAGGCACACTCCATTCTTATTCCCATGCCTATGGCAATTGAGAGGATAATGTCATTGACTCTGTTTTATGTAACCTTTTAGAGCTAATTGGAGCCATTTTTACCATGTATAGTATTAAATTCTGATGCACTACTGAGACTGTCAAAATAAGAGAGAGCCATTCTATTTAATTTCATTTGCTCTTTTTAACATGTTTTTTTCGTGTGTGTGTGTAAGGGGGAGAATTTCAATTCATAAAGAAACCTCTATCCTTACAGGAGTCTAGTAAAAGCCCCAAAACGATGAAGAAGTTTCTTCATAAGAGAAAGACTGAAAGAAAGCCATCAGAGGAGGAATATGTGATTCGGAAAAGTATGTGTTTTGTACTTTTTGAAAGTTGGTTATGCATGAACTAAGAAGAATTTTTTTTTATTTTGGTATCATTAATCTACAATTACAGAAAGAACGTTTGTTTACTAGGTTCCCCCCTTCACCAAGTCCCCCCCAGAAAATTTTTTTGAAAGCAGATGGTTAGAACAATTTGTTCTTGGTGTAACATGTTACCTAATCAAAAATGCATGGCAAGGTTTGGTCACCTCTAATATTTTTGAATAAGCTGCCCCTTGGTGCACTTCATGTTATCTTAGGCAGACACCATCTGTATGATTTTCGTGTTGAATATTTTGCCCCACCTGGTTTAGAACCACTAAAGGGACCCATTTGCTATGGACATATTTTTTTGCTCTTAGTTTCTGATGCCTGAGATATTTTCCTCTACGGAGATATGCCAAATAGACCTGCAGGCTGGAATCCTAGAAGTTCCATTCTCAGTTAGCCCAGGAATCAGCCGGCTGACATGTAGAAACATGGTTTGCTTTAGAGACTCACTGCACAGTCGCTCAGCCAACCAATATGCACATATTTCCCTCTCTGCCTGGGAACAAGGTATCTTGGGACAAACATGAAGGAGTAAGTGATGCATCACAAAGGGGTGACAGAACTGTGTGCATCCGTTGAAAATACAGTCTGGATAAATCTTTGCTTGACTCTCGATTCTGCATCCCCCCATGCCCAGCCCACACCTGGGTGTGCAAGGCAGCTAATGTTAACACGGTTCTGCCATCCATTCATTTCAAGAATGAGTTGGAGTGGGAGGAGGGAGAATCAGTGACTCTGCTGGCTGGTTGGAAAAATGGGTGGGGCTAATGGGGAAGGCTTCCTAGAGAAGGTGAGCCTTGACACGTGAAGGAGAGGCAGGATGTGGTGTGTTGGTGGGGGCTAGCACCCAGCCCAGTGCTCTAGCTATGGCCTCGAAGAGATGACTGGCAGGACTCGCCTGTCTGGAGCTCTGGGCGCGCCTCTGGGGCAGGCCACTCTTGGTGCTGAATCACTGACACTGACCCCCGAGCTCCTTGCGGTGCTGTCCCTCTTGCTCCATTCAGGTTAGACAGCTTTTTCTCATGCCTTTCTGAAGTATCCCTGGTAAGAGAAGCCAGCCGTCAGCAACGAAATGGCATATAGCTCTATGAAAAGTCATTATTAATTCAATTTGGCAGGTACTGTAGCCCTGGAGGAGGATGCTCAGATTCTTAAAGTGATCGAAGCCTATTGTACCAGCGCAAATTTTCAACAAGGCCATGGTTCAAGTAGGTTCCTCCAAACCACTTTCTCTAATGAATAATGTTTCCTTTTCACTGCTCACTGCTTCTTAGAAAAAGAGAAGAGCAACCCAGATGGGTTGCAGGGTGTGTAAAGCAGGTGACTTGAGGCTGAGGAGCAGGGCAGGACTGCATCCTCCAGATAAGGTGGTTTTAGCTACTAGGCGGTTTGTTTACCCACTGTTTCTTTTCACCCAGAGAGAAAGAGAGATACAAGAGTAAAAAAGTTGGAGGTGATAGAAATGAAAAAAAATTTTTGTAAGTCATTCTCCTTTGAAGTACACACATACCTTCATCAACACTAGTCAGGAATTAAAGAGCCCAGAGAGCTCCTGTGTCTGTGAACCGATGCTCATCTCTTCTTATAGGCAGATTTGGAAAGGAAGTCAGAATACTATCTTTGATCAGCTGCATATTTAAGCAAACAGTGCTTCACCAAAAACCAAGTTTCAAAGTTGCTCTGAAAATCTTGAAATGTAGCTGCTCAGCAGGGACTGTTTGGAATGTGTATGATTTATTAGGGAACCATTAGGTGAGGTATTTCCCTGAACAACTTGCAGGCTACAAACTGAAAGCAGGGCCATGTTTTCTGATTTATCCTTGAGCTTTTTGAAAAGCTTTGTCTTTTGTCGCCCATTATGAGAGACATTCAGGGTACCCTGTGTGAGGTTTTGGCTTCTGCCTAAGAAATGAGTTCTCTGTAATGCTCCATTTTGCATGGGCACTGACCAGTCTCTTGCAGGTGGGAAGGGATTCCTTAGGGGGACTGCCTTGACATATGCTTTCAAAGTCATGTGTCTCCAAGGCTGTTGTGAGGAAAATTAGATGTGAACGTTAACACATCCGACTGAAGACGGGACTGTCACACACACCTCCCACTTCACAGACAAAACCTGGCTGTGGCTTTGGGCATGCCCACCTCTGCTAACAAGTTCCAAGGAGCCAGAAAAGGGAAGTGAGAATAGCTTTTATCATGAAAACTAGGAAAGAGAAGGGAATGGGGAGATACCAGAAGAAGCATCCCTCATACAAAATCTGACCTCCTGCCCCGCTGCTCCTCTCACCCTTCACATCCATAGTAGATGTGCCTTGGAGGTGCGGCATGCGTTTGGGCCTCACAAGCCCCATTTTCTCCCTTGCCCCTGAGCCTGCCTTTCACATGTGGAAAGTGCCTAGCTCAGTGCTTGGCATGCTGTGGACCTTTTAACAGCATGGTGACCCTCTAGGCCTCTCCATCCAGAAATCCTGAGAGCGTTTCTTGCTGCATTCAGTCAGTTGGTCAGCCAGTCAGTCTGCTCTCCACTTCCTAAGCATCTATGAAGTGTGAGGCCCTGTGGAAGCAGAGATGTATCCATCTCGGGAAACAGGAGGTGATCCAGTGAAGACAGTGGGTGTGCACAACTGGGAGGAATTGGGCTTAGAAGAGAGTGGTTCAGGGAGGCTGAAGATGAAGGGCTCAAGCTCTGAGAGGAAGGATCCAGAAGTGAGGGGGAGGTGGGAGGGGCAGGACTGCCATTTGCTCAGGTCCCTTATGTGTTCTGTCACCTCTTCCATCACCGAGATGGAGACAGTCTGAGCTGAGAGTGGTGTGGACACCTGCACGTTTGCTGCTGATGTGATCGTCTCCCAGCCCCTTCACCAAAACATTCTTCACTGAGCCTGCCTTACCCGGCAGGCTGTGCGGAGGACGGGGGAGTGAAGGATGCCCTCAGGCCCTTGAAGCACATTGTGTGCCAGTGCAGTGCTGTTCCCTACGAGATTTTTAAAAATCTTTTTGTTTACTGAAGTATAGTTGATATACAATATTATATTGGTTTCAGGTACACAACATAGTGATTCAACAGTTATCTACATTATTAAATGCTCGCCTCGCCTCATGTAGTTACAATCTATTTTACTACAGTTACACAGTGCCGACAGTGTGGTGGGCCTTCCCTGGAGACGTGCAGGGGCACGTGACCACTGACCGGCTCTTGGCTCTGGAGGAGGCCAGACAGGAAAGGGTGGGGTCCTGGCTGAAGACAAGTATTACAGTGACCCTTTGCCACTATTTTTCTGAATACAGAATGCCCCCACCCCTGATTGAATCAGTATACATTTGGCCATTTGGAATTTCTCAAATCGGAAGTGTTGGGTGACTGCTCTCTGGGTGCTGGGCGACAACATGCTATCAGCAAAGACCCCTGGATAACAATAGTAGGAAGTAACTAACACCTATAACTAGTTGTCACTAGTAACCCTCCCCTCTCCTCCCCCTGGCAATCCTTGTTTGAAGGTACTCGCAAAGATTCGGTCCCACAGGTCTTACTCCCCGAGGAAGAGAAACTCATCATTGAAGAGACCAGAAGCAATGGCCAGACCATCATTGAAGAAAAGTAAGCAGAGTGGGCTACCCCTTTTCTCATTGGTCGGGAGGGTGGAAAGAAGGTTCTGGCAGGGCAGTGTGGCTCTTGCAAAGCCTGCACTGAAGGGCAGCTACTTCTCGTCTGTGAGTGTGGCCCTCTTTGCTGGTCATGCAGTTGGTAGCCTTGGGAGAGCTGCCCCCCAACAAAGGGAAGACAGAAGGAGAGGCATTGGGGGCAGAATACTCCATGTGGTGGCTCCCCCGGGCCAGCTCCCCATACAGAATGGCGCTGCTGGGTGTGCGAGAATATCACTCTAGAGGGGGAGAGGCAGCGCTTGGGAAGGCCACAGCACTAGTGGCCCTGCCCACAGGGGTGCCTCTACATGTGTTGAGTCGGGCACTGGGCTTTCACATACTTGACTTCATTTAAAATCCCCTAGCAATGCAGTGAGATAAGCATTACTTTCACCACTTTGATAGATGAGGAAACTGAGGTTCAGGGAAATTGTGTCCCTGGCCTACCTTTGCACAATAACGAGGGTGACCTAATGGGGGGAAATCAGGTTAAGTACCTTACAGTTCATAAAACAACCTCAAACTGGCCAAATAATTCATTTGTTTGAACTTGAGTCATCTCTGAAGTCAGGTCTAAGTTTGCATAGGACAACATATCTCAAAGTCCATGTATTCTTTGACTTCGAAACATATTGATTTGGCATCCTCAAGGTATCTTTCCATCTGGTGTATGAGGTGATGTGGCAAAAGGAAAGGTAAAGAAAGCACTTGCACTCAGTAGAAGAACAGCCTGTCTTCAATTCCAAAAGCTGCCACTCCATTGGCTGTCAGTAAATGATGGTGGTTATATAATTATTACTATTACAGCCATATTAATCCCCACAACAATCTTGTGAGGTTTTTGGGGAAGGTGGTGTAGCCCCATTTTGTATGGGAGGTAAATAAGACCCACAGAGGGTGAGAAGGTAACTGGTTCCTCAAGGTTAGAGGACTGGTAAGTGGCAGGATCAGAATCATGTAGGATCGTGTAGGGTCAGGTAGGTGAATAGGGCGATGGCATAGCACAGACGGTGTAGGACAGGCAGGGCCCTGTGGCATCTCTTACTAAATGTTAGGCGATGTTCAATCCTGCCCCAGAGAGAGAAGCCAAAACCTTATGAAGAGCCTTAGTCTCCGTTTTCGTACTGACCCAAGCTGGGAAGCGAGCAGCAAAGGAGGCAGCGTTTGACCGAGCTGTGTGGTGGGTGGTGGCTGTTAACCCAAGGAAACAAGGAGCCCAAGGACCAGTCATAGCAGTTCTCTCTCCTGACCAGCTAGAAAGTCCACTACTTTTCAGGATCTGTATTTCTCTAAAGCTGCTTTTATTGTTAAGTGTTACCTAACAACACTTCAGTCCAGCTATTAATCTCTGACCTTTATGTTCTAGGAGCCTTGTTGATACTGTTTACGCCTTGAAGGATGAGGTCAAAGAACTGAAACAGGTAATGAAATATACAAGTCGTTGCTCAGATCGTAACAGGACCCCTCCCTCTTCCTCACCACATGCTGGCAGATACTCTCAGCAAAGGGCCACGAACAAGGTGGGGAGGTGGGGAGTTTTGTTTTCCTTGTGTCATCAAGGTGGGTTTTGCTGATTTTACCATCTGGCCTTGGGTTTAAATTTCTGAGGCTTGCTTATACGCCTGTTTAGTGGCTTACTGTAGGGTCCCAAACTTAGTTACAAGTTGCATGTTCTCTGACATTTATAAACAGAATTTAAAAGATAAGTCATTTGTGAGCATGTGAGTGTAAACAGCAGCATAAACCACGGTTTGTGGGCTCCTCTGCAGATGCGATCTGGTACTCCATGATGCACGCTCTTCCTCATGTTTGACGACTGACTTGTACCTGGTGACAGGGTAAAGGATGGATCGGAGGGGCAGAGAGACCAGAGACTGAAAGATGACTTAGGAGGTTATTACAAACCTCAGGGTGACACATGAAGGAGCTCTGAACTAAGGCAGTGCCATTAGGGCTTTGGAGGAGGAGAACGAATGTGAAGGTGGGTCCATCACAGAGTTTGAGCTTGTGGATAATGTTGCCGTGATACTGTGGTTAAGAAGGCCAGGGATTGAAGAGAAAGCTTCTCACCTGGGTGTCTAGTTTGGTATGTTGGTGCCCTTCATGGAGATTAGGAATCACAGGAGGAAGAGAAGCTGGGGGTGACAGGGAGGTGGTAAGTCCACTTTGGGACACATGAGTTTGAGGCACTTGTAACATATCTAGGTGGAACTACCAAACTGGCAATGGGGACTGTTGCACCTAGTGCTCATGGATGAGATGGCGTCAAGCACCAGAGCAATTTGGGAGGCCCTGTAAGAGATACTTGAGTTGAAAGAGAAAAATTACTAACTGAAAGGAGTGTTGAACTACCAGAGGGCCAGGGCCAGAGCCTAGGAGAATACTTGGCTTTCAAGGAAGAAGAATGGAAGGGTTGGTCAGAGAGAGGAAGGACAGTCAGAAGCTGCCATGTCTTAGAAGCTGAGGCAGTGGAGTTTGAGGAAGGAAAGTGTAGTCAGTGGTGAAGGCTGCCAAGGGCATGAGCAGGAGGAGCCCTGGGAAGGGGCCACTTGGTTTGGTAATCAGCAAGTCTTTTCCCTTCACAGGAGAATAAAAGAATGAAGCAGTGCCTGGAAGAAGAATTGAAATCAAGAAGGGACCTAGAAAAGCTGGTCCGGAGGCTGTTGAAGCAAACTGATGAGTGTATTCGGGCTGAGTCCAGTGGCAAGACCCCCATTCTTCCATAACCACCACTGTGCAGCTGGGCAGAGCATGCCTTTGGGGCATCTTGAAATGCCCAACCAAACAATTTGAGTCAGTTTGCTCCCTTCTTCGGTTTTTATTTTTGGTCTGTGTCAGTCTCTCTCTCTCTTTCTCTCTCTCTCAATTTGTTTGCTTGAGCATTTGCTGTTGGTTATTGGTTGGCTGTGTATTTTTTTTCAACAGGGATAAAAGCAAGAGGTGGTGGTAGAAGTCTCTCCAGAGTCTCTTCAGTTCAGCAAGAAAAGGAAAGCTAATATAGGCAAAGGACTTAAGTAGTCTTCAGATGGCCTTCCATTCACAGTGCCTCTTTAGCAGCCATTACCGCTGGGTCACTCCTGTTGGGCTGGCTGCTACCCCAGAGGAGCTGGCCATGGCTTTAGTGAATGTGAACTTGACTTTTCCCCCAATGCTTTCCTGTACTTGGAAGTCCCTAAGTACCTAATTTACTGAAGGCAAATTGAGCTCCGACTAGAGTAGGTGAAAGACTAATACATTTAGTCTTTCACCAGACCCAGTGACCCGGCTTCCCTTTCCAGCCCAATATGTGCTACCCCCTCAAGCATGCTTTCTTTTTTTTTAAATATTGCCCTATATTGTCTATAAGACCAAGAAAAATTAGTGCCCATATTCCTTTTATGTTGGTTTACATTTTAACTCTGTGGGGCAGAAGCTCTGGTCATCCGTGCCAACACCCAATCCATTAGCAAATTGCACTGGACAGTCCTGCCCTTTAGCAGCAGAGCTGACCATCTCTTCACAACGCATGACAGGTTTTTCCCCTAGCCTTCTGCCTCTTGTATAAGTTTTATATTTCCCCAGTGCTTTTAGCCAGCATACCAAACACTGTGTAAAGTAGTATGTGTGTGCTTTTCCTACTTTTTAAAAACACAGACTGTGAGCAGTCACTTTATCTACATTGTCTATTCTAATGGTGACTTCTCATGCTTCAAAACAATCTGCATTGAGGAGTTACTGTGCCCTAGTAGACAGCTTTAATTCACTTTATTGGTCTCCTGTATGTGCTGTGAGAAGCTGAAATGTTCATCCGCCTCTTTGTGTAGGACTCTAAGCATTATTTGCAGAAATGTGCCGTTGGTCCACTTTGTATATCTGGAAAGAAAGGGCCCCTCTGATAGCTGTGTGCTAGTTACTAGTGAAGCTGATAATTTGGAACTGGTTTACTCAAGTTGCTCATTGAAGCAAACCATTGCTTTTGTAAATGTCTCAGAAATTAGAACTGTGATAAACCAAGTTTAGAAGAGGGTCAGAAAAGGACAGCACACGTCCCAATTCTGCACAATTGAAAGTCAGCCCAAGGTGTGAGGACAGAGCCATGCAACCCACCCTCTCTGTCCCAAAGACAAGTGCAGCTTGGCTGGGTGGGGAAGATCACTGGAGAGAGAGGCAAAGGGCCAAGGGGCTTATCAGCGTTGTCTTTCAGATACATTTGATGGATGCCTACAAATATGGGTTTTGCAAATGTTGGTTAGAAACCAAACTTGAAGCTTGAAACCCCCAGGTTGCTAAGCCCTTTTTTTTCTAGTACGGGGGTCTCAAGTTCCCATAGCTATACGGTACAGGGCTGTTGACTGCGTGTTGCACAGCAGAAATTACATCATCCACAGGAAATGGACTATTCCTGCCATCCACCATCAGCCAACCACACACAGCTGGCTTTGGAAGCTGAAGAGTAAAGATTTCTGGGAATGGCTGTTGTTGTGTTTTTAAGCACAGCAGTTTAGATATGCAATCCTTAACGTCAAAATTAAAAACAACCCAGACGTTAACATCTGCCCTGTCTGTGGTTAGTCAATGGCTTGCAATAAATGAGCAAACTATATCCATAGGAAACATTTTTGTGATTACAAAATACTTACTTGATAGGTATAGGATTGCTTCAAATACTGAAAGGTCTTTATTTTAAAGTGACATGTACATATGCGTGTTTTGGGGACTTGGCCCTTCTGACGAGAAGCCCTGGGTACCCTCGGGTAATGATGCTTGTGCAGAGTGGTGTCCGTGGTTACCCACTAAACAATAATATAAAGGAAATGAAGCCATGTTAGTCTGAGAGCAGGGTCTCTGTAGCTGAGCTGTTTACAATGGGTTCCTGTTCCCTTGTAGCTAAACTGCTGCCTGAGAGGCCTCTCAGGCCCTCTTCTGTTACGCCCCTTCTTACACACGCTCAAATTTTCTAACTTGTTTTTATTTTGAAGACTTTTAAAAAGGACATTTTCAATTAATAAAAATAACAGTGCTTTATAAAATCAGTCCACTGTTTCTTTTGTGAGCTGATGTGCTGCGAGGTTTCTCAGGTGGAGTCAGCTCCCTATCCTGTTTCCCTCGTTAGGTGTCCACTCTCATCAGGCCCCCTCGGCATCTTCGACCTTTTTCACTCAGGGCACATGACAGTGGATGCTCACTTTATAGTGGTGATCCATGCCTGTAGGCAGAACCTTCCTTAATTTCTCCACCCCTCTCCTGGCCTCCACCTATAAACTCTTCTTACCATTTTCCTTCGAGTTTTAGAGAACAAGTTATCCATTTGCCTGTTCAACCTTATCCCTTGATCTTCAGTCTTATTTCCATCCCCCTTATATTTTGTAAGATTTAGTCAGTGATATCCTGTATTTTGACCACAGTTTGGAATGCTGGTATCAATGGTCAGGATGAAAATATTTGCTCCACCTCAAGATACATACACTGGATATTACCTGTTGCTACTGAGCATCCATTCCTACCCCTCTTTTGTTTCCCCTGGAGAAAGCTACAAAAGCACAATCCCAGACTCCCTTGCAGCTAGGGTTGTGGATACAGTGTGGGTTCTGATACATTTTCAGTTCTTCCAATAAGATACCTTTGTACCATGTTTGGAAGGCTTAAGTTAGGCAGAGGCTATCTTTCTGGGGCTTGGTGGCTGTCAGGCCATTCCCAGGGTATGTCTGTGGCTTCTCTCCTGTACACTCCAGTGTATCTACTCTCAGCTTTGTGGGAGACAGACTGTAGCAGCAACAGTGGGGGTAGCAGCCTTTCCATTTGAGATGTGTTTCATACTTGGAAGCAAGAGATAGAACATTGCACCTCCCAGGTGCTGGGTCCTATACCACATGTTTTACATGGCTAAGCTCGTGGAACCCTCACAACAAGCCTGTGAGGTACTCACTATTGTCCCCATCTTACAAATGAACAGAGGCACAGATGTTGAAGAAGAAGCTGGGGTTTGAAACCCTGGTCTGTCTGCCTCTTCAATCCACACTCTCTGTACCACATTTCCTCCTCTGCACTTGGCACTTGGCACCTGCTAGGTAACTTTCTTGTAAAATGACTAATGAGCTCTTAATTGACAAATCTCATGAACACTTTTCTGTATCCATCTTGACCTCTCTGCAGTATTTGACTGTTGCCTCCTTGATAAATCTCTTCTTCCTTGGCTTTCATGTTCCCAGCTTTCCCAGTATTCATTGACCCTTTCTGACCAGCCCTCAGTCTCCTTCACTGGGTCTGCCACCTTTGCCTGTCCTTTGAATGTTGCTGATCCTTGACACTCTTTTCCTCTTCTCTTCCTTTCTATTGCCTTTTCCTGGACAACCTTGTCTACTCATAAGACTTTATTTATCAAAATGCAGATGACTCCCACATTCATATTTTTCCATCTTGACCTTTCTCCTGAGCTCCAGACCCATGGATACAGCTGCCTTCTGGACATCTCAGCTTGGATGTCCTATAGTACCTCAAACTCAGCATATCCAAAATTGGACTCCTCATTCCAATTCCCAAATCTACTCTTCCAATGTTTCCATACCAGTAAACAGCACCCCTGGCCACTTAGTTCCCCAGGTCACAAAAATGGGCATTATCCTTCATTCCATCCTCTCCCTTGACCCTGTATAACTTTATGCTTTAACCCTTTATTAACCTAGTCATCAAGTATTACTATTTCTAACTGTGTTGTATCCCCTGAATTCCTCTCCATCCTCATGACCATTGCCTATTTTTGGCACTTGACATCTCTCCCTCAGGCTAACACATCTCCTTGCCCCTCACATCACCCTCTCTAGTCTGGCCTCTATGATTATCTAAAATGCATATACGTATGTGTCTGTGCATGTGTATGTGTATGTTTGTATGTATTAAGATTGCTAGGTAAAATACAAGATGACCAGTTAAACTGAATTTCAGCCATACAAAAAATATTTTGGTATAGATCATATCCCAAATAATGCATGGGATATACTTATACTGAGTTTTCAAAAGTTTGCCTGAAATTCAAATGTAATTTGATATCCTGAACTTTTATTTGCCAACTCTGACAGATTTAGTATATACTTACGTATATGTATGTATACAAACATATATACACACACACACACACACACACACACACATATATTTCCTAGGGGCAGTGACCCCCTAATAGCAATGAACACAGCTAGTGCCTAGAACTTGGTTTCTAAACACTTATACTCTGCACTGAAAGAACCAGAGCTCCTTGGAGAAATGGTTGATCCTATGGCTGAGGCAGGGACAGTACAAAATGAACCTAGAACATCTTGTTGTGGCCGAAGAAAGTAATGGAATGCTCAAAAAAACCCAATAGGGGCATGTTGCAAGGACACAGGTGCCAACTTGAAGAGGCTCCCACTGGCCAAATAAGGGGAAATCTGAACACTAAAATAAGGACAGTAATGGATTAGAAAACATTGAAAAAGTAGAGATCTATGCACCCATACTGATACATAAATAAGTCGGGAGCAAGGGAAGGCTGTTGTTTACAGTACCATGCTGTGTGTTGACTGGTTACTGTGGAAGGAGCACTGGAGTTGGAAAATCATCATTTTGGATCCATCAAAGTAAATGTGGATTCAGGCAAGAATTATCATGGGGCACTAAATATAGGGGTGATGATGAGAAAGATAGTCTTAGTTTCCCCAAAGGCTGCTTACTAGTTGCAAGGGGGAAAGTAGTAAATATAGAGTGGAGAAATGGGACACCACCTTAACTGAGTGATCAAAATGCACATCAACAGTGAGAGACCAATGGACATCATGTGCTTCCAGATGTGATACCTGAGAAGGACACACCATTTATGTAGTTTTCCACCCCAGAAAGCATCACCTGAATTTGACTGTGAAGAAACCTCAGACAGACTCAACATAAGGAACATTCTTTTTTTTTTTAAGGGGAGGGATTGTTACTATCATACTCTAAAATGTCAATATCATTAAAGGCAAAGAAGGGCAATGGAAATGGTCCAGATTAAAGGTGACTGAAGAGACATGACAACTGAACAAGACCTGAGCCTAGACTGGGTCCTGTGCTGGAGGGAAAATGCTAGCAAGGACATTATTGGATCACTTAATTGTATTGAAATGCCAATGGAAGACCAGCATGAATGTTAAATTTTCTGACATTGATAACTGTACTGTGCTTATAGACAAGAACATCTTTATTCTTGGGAAATGCACACTGAGGTATTTAGAGGTGAAGGCCATGATGTACGCAACTTACTCTTGAATGGGTCAGAAAAAAAGATACACTTCTTACTTGCATTGTTCTTATTTTTGCAACTTTTCTGTAACTGTGAAATAATTTTTAAATAAATTTTTTGTGAAGTCAGCTTAAGCATTGCCTCCTTAGGGAATCCAGACCCCAGCAGCTCCTTTTGCTCAGCCATCACATTACACTTTATTTGCATGTGTCTTTTTCCACGCTAAATGTTACTTGCCTTAAAAAGAGGGATTGACTCCTTTCACCCATGTGAGTTCAGGGCCTGATTGATACAGGTTCAAGCCCATAGAACCTACTCAGTATTTATTGAATTAGCAAATGTTCCAAATAATCTGAGGTCTCTGCTATTTGTATGGGAACACTGTAAAAACTTGCCTTGATGCCAAGACCAGAAGCCATCTGGGGTCCTTAGCTTTCTGCAACCTCCGAGCTTGCAATGTCAGGTCCGGACCCAGCCTCCTCTCCTCCTTTCTCACCACTTGCCCTGCAGGCCACCTTAGCCACACTGTCTTGGAGGACGTTGTGCAGCCAGTCCCTCTGGGAAGGCAGGGCAGAGGGCAGCTAATCTCTGGTACCCTAGCACAAAGCCTCTTCCTAGGTTGGGTTTTAGTATATGCTGTTTGGCCGGTATCCCAATATTTTTTCTCGCTGAAGACCCTCTGTGAGCTGACCCCTACCTGCTCCCCTGACCCTTTGATCGATTTTCACACTTCTGCTTTTGCATAGTCTATCCTCTGCCTCTGGGACTCGTTTCCTCCCTATCTCATGCTCTCTGCTTTCCCGGCATCCTTCAAGGCTCAGTCTGTGCCACCCCTCCCGGAAAGCCTTTCCTGACACCTAGCTTCCCCTGCTTGTCTGAGTTACCTGTCCTTGCTGTGTATTCCCTGTAACCTCATCCTTACCCCTGCTATAGCATGGACGCCGGACTTTAAATGCTTGCACACGTGTTATGCAACAGGCTGTAAGCTACCTGAGGGCAGGGACTGGATCGTAGTCATCCCATGCATAGATAGCACAGAGTCCACAACCTCAGTCTGTGTTGGACGGGTGGGTGGATGGATAAAAAGAAATCTTTAACTCGTAGTAACAAGAAATGTGAATCAAATCCAAGATGTGCTAAAGTTAAAAAGTTGCATGTTGGACTTGAAAGAGGTTTACAGTCAGAGAGGTACAGGAGATTGGAGTAGAGCTCGTGACCAAAATTTACTGGACTTTAAATGGGGTTACATTAGCACGCAAAATGTGAAGGATAATCCCAAGGGAAAGAAAAGCAACTATGTATTTAACTGTTTTTCTTGAGGGTTGCTAATTGCCTACTGGGGTACGTTTGTCCTTTGGATTGGAGATCACTGATAATAGTTTTTTAAAAGGAAACCTTCCTAAATATCTTAAATATGGAATTGCTCAAGCCTACTGAGGAGTCTGGCAACCCCAAGCCTCCACTGGTTACTTGGTTTTGACAATGAAACTTTAAGAGTCTTTACTATACACAGTTCTACTCTAATGTTCGGTAGATGTTCTAAGCCTTTTTTTCTTTCTTTCCTTTTTGTTTTATTTTTCCTTTGCTTCAAATTGATCTTTGCTCTACTCCATGGGCAAGGCCTTGTGGACTGGGGCTGCCAGGCATTCATGGATTTCAACCATTTTAATGTACCATCCTGTCTACTTGTACTCCTGGGTCCTGGGGCCATTGGAGACCCACCTTGGTGTTTTTTATATGATCTGTTCCAGAGAGCAGAGTGTGGGGAACTTTTTATGA